CCCCCACTCCTCCCCCTCATTCCCAGGGATTTGTTCATTTTCCTTCCTCCCTCAAGTAGCCCTTACACTTACACTCAGGTAGACGGTTAACCCTTACTTTGGGTAAAAATTATCTCCCCGTCGCTCGGGTATCTAAGCCTCCCTTTCCCTCCCTGATGCAGTATTAACCCTCCCCTCCCCTATTCGTAGAATAGACCTATCCCGTCTACCCAACACTCTATCATACACCTCTGCATTCCAGACAGTGTTGAAACAGACCCGAACAAGTGTAATTGACCACACTACCCCGTACTGACCTTTCCAAGGTCACACACATGCACACACATATCGGAAATATTTATAGGGGCCACAGCTGAGCTGTGTATAAGCCTGGTTATCTTAGCGTGAGGATCAGACAGAACACAGGCACGTGGAATCAACAAATAGAAAATATTAATTGAAAGTTTTGCTTTGGGTTAAACATTTTCGAAAGGCTAAACTCATGTGCCTGCGATTAGACACACAATTTTTTAAACTTTGATACACTGCCTCTCGTTTTATCTGCTATTTCGCTTACTGCCAATATATTTCAAAATCTTTATTATCTCTTTCGGTGTATCGCCTAACCCCTTTATAACGCCAAATTGCTCGATAAATGGCGGACGTACATATATATACCGATGTTTTACTGAGATAGTAGTGTTTAATATTTTTGAAAATGCATTTGTTACACACACAACTGGTATTTCTTGTGTAAGGTTGATCGTTTAAACTACGACTATATCGCCATTATCGTGTGACTTTAAAATGCTGGACAAAATGTCTCATACACATCTTTATATTTTCAATCGCTTGTGTGAGTAAATTTCTTAATTATTTGACGAGTTTAAGAAATAAAAGATAGGAATGAATTCAGATGCAGGTTCCCACGGATTATATTTCTGTAAAGACTTTAAAATAGAAAAATAAAAAAATGATGATATGTGAGAACGATTTTGATTGTTTCTTATGATAAATTATAATATATAATATTCTCTTCCATCGCTGCTTGATAGCAAGAAGAAAAAAAATAAACTTAGTGAAATAACAAGTTAAATATCATACCGAGACACGTGATTCAAATAAAGAAATCAAATTGATTGCAAAATTTTGATCTAAAACTGTCACAAATTACCAAGAAATAGGGATCGATACCAAACTGACAAGAATTTAAATAGCATAGCGCTGACAGTTCGTTACTCGTGAATTTCGAATCTTTGGGTGTCGGCAACCAAAATATTTATCTTGTTAATTTGTAGTCTACGCGTTAGTAAGCTGACATGTTTGTACACCACCGGCCACCATGCAGCACCTGTACCGCCTACTACAACTACACGTGTTGTAGATAAAAATAGGTTCCCCTAGCGACTTGACATCTACCAATCGCCGTCTTATCTTGTAGTAAGGATATGTCAGATGTTTCGCGTCGTCCAGCTAGATCGCATCGATAGCGGACCTAGAGACCAGGGGGTGTTAATTTGTCTGAGGGGACAGCGTTTGAGGTTCCTAATAGAACAAAAATCAAAACAAATGTGGAACGTTTTTAAAGAAAACTCGCATCCTGGCACCGAGTGTGTGATTTTGGGGAGGGGTAGGAGTGGGGATTGGGTGTGTGTGTGTGTGTGTGTGTGTGTTGAAAATGCAACCCAGTGAATCCCTCTAGATAAGCCACTGCATAGAAAAGAATGTACCCTCGCGTTATCCCAAGAGACAGACAGTGTTACCATAGATAATTGGTCGTAATAGGTACGGAGCGGTGATACAGATGGCCTGGTGCTCCCTAACAAAGTTCAGAGGCAATAATAACCGGAATAACCGGCGTTACGGCCCCAGGGAGCCAAGTCTGAACTGCCGTATTTGCTGGGAGTGCAGCACAACTTTCGTAATAAAAAAAAAATGGGGAGACACGTTTTTTAATCCAATGTTTGGCGATTAAAGACGAACATTTCGTAACAAAAATAGACAGAAAAACATATCTTGTTAAGTGATATACTTGAATCAAGTTTTATAGCCCCTTTATATAGTCCTTGCAAATTAGTAAAACATTAAGTGGATGGGTTAAGTATTAACACACATTTTCTAAACAATTCAATTTCTATATACACCAATATAGTACGTATTGATTATAACATAAAGTTTAAACCAAATCGATGTTTACAGAATAGGATCTGAAGATTGAGTATCATAAAAATTGAATTAGATTTCTATTTTATTTTAAGTCCGGGTTTAAAATTATCCCGAGAGCAAAGGATGAATCAGTTTTGTATATGCAATATTTTTTAAAGAAACAAATACACTCAGTTTTGAACATATACGAGATTCGGGATTATGCAATAGTTTAAGGTGAAAGTATACAAATTTAGTAATATGCTGGACGCAGTGCTACACAAGTATTTAATTATCTTAATGGGGTATGTATCTTTAATAATATTTTGAACACAAATATGCACTAAGAAACCTTAAATGAACATCACAACACACTGCATATTTGAACTGAACACGCATCTTTCATATAATTACAATGCACGTGTATGCACGTGTTTCAATTGTATTCTATTTTTATTGAACAGGACAATATTTTAATGGAACATGCTTCTTTAATTATATCAAACCCACGGGTGCTGAACAGCTTTAATTAAACGAACATCCTAAATAATAACATCATGCACAGCATTCCTCGCTCACGCGTAAAGCTTAATCAGCTGTTATTAGACAAAGGCAGGATGCAACACAGCTTCCCTTAAAAAAACGTAATCCATCGGGCCCGAAATAATTATAATGCGACTGTTAAGGCCTGTTCCTCACCGTACAGAATAGAAGCTTTTCATAACCTCGGTTTTAAATCGAACTCCTCCTTTGATCCGGCAAAGTAAAGGGAGTATTACAGAGCATTAGTGAGGTTGTTCAGAACATCCTCACGTGTCACTTGCGCGAGCTATAAAACCTGCCACCCCCAATCAGCGATATTTTACCACCTAGGCCTAAAAGGTTAACAAAAAACCCGAAGCTTGTCCTGATGAGAAAAGGATCTGATAAAGCTTTGTGCTGTCAAAGTTGCCGTCAAGTGTTATCAATTATTTAAACGGGCAAATATTTGTGGAGCTTTAATGAAAACCCAACAGCGAGGATTTAATGAAATCGATTTAATATGAGTGGTTACCTACCTTGGTTTAGTGTATAGTATAATCCAGTGTATCCTCTTTGAAAATGAAAATTGTTTAAAAAATTCTCTTGAAGTTTTGATGAAAGTGTGTCACTTTGTAACCACGCTCCACCGTAATATCCATCTATACAGTTCAGCGTATGGAGTAAAGATTTACTTGGAGCGACAGCGTAAAGTGTAACATCCTCCTGCTCGTGTTGTGTGTGTTAGTGTGTGGTGTACTCTACTGATACACGCTCTATTGAGGAGAGATCAGACGCCTCTCCTCCATCCACCCCCTCCGCGAGTCACATGACGCTCAAGTCTCCTCTGATACAAGCTACGAAGTTCAAACCAGATATGTCAAAAATACCAGTTTTGTAGCTGCTTTTGTTCCTTTCTTCTATATAACCAAAAAATCAATCACTTGGAGAGTAGAACGAGAGAGTGAGTGAGAGAGAGGAGAACCGAAGCTTCTCCGAGTTTGCTAAGTGCGGCCGCGCGATACTTTCCCGCGCTGTGTGGTTACAGAGGCTGAGCGGGGACGGAGTCGGTGTCAGTCGCTGGGATGCTGAGCTTCAGTCGCGGTCTGTTTCCTGTCTGTTTCAGTGAAACATACAACCCCGCATAATAATATTTCTTTCAAAATTGCAATGAATCACTGCGTTTTTACATTATGCGTTTATTGGCCCATGCTTCAGTGGACAATTTCACGTCTATTTGAATATGAACAGAATGGCGTTCAATTTTTAGCGGATACCAATTTCGACTGAGCTCTCTATCAAGACAGATGTCTCCGTTACAGCGACAAAGCTTGCCTGGTTCCAAAATTCTTTATTCTCATAATTATCAATGCCAAGCATCGGAGATGGGAAAGAGAAAAAATGATTTTTTGTCTTCCGATTATTATCCCGCTGTATCGGAGCTACCAATGTAATTGATCGCGTATTTCTATGAATAAAGAAATGGATGAATTTCAAAAAAATGAAATTTCCATTCTTTGGCAAAACATTTGAAGTTTCCCCGAGGTGGATGTCATAAAGTGCAATTGAGGATAGAGCTATTTAGTCGATTCGACATTCTGAGAAACGTAAAAACGCAAGGAATTGAACAGGTCTTAGAATAATGCTTTCGTAGTAAGGAAATTAATTTGATCAAATTCTTCAATTTAAATGTCAGTCATCGAGATATAATTTAGATCTTTTGAGTTTCACTTGTTGCTCATTGTAGCTGCTACAATATGCATGATAGCTTGTTTTTATATCGGTAGCTTCTATGTGAAAGTGGAATAGCAACATCAATCGAATATATCAGTGTGCTAAGGTTTGTTTGTGTTTCACGTCCAATTAACAGCTTTGGTCATTTAAGGACATGTCAGGTTTTAATGGTTGAGGTAAACCGGAGTTCCTGGAGAAAAAACGACGACCTGGCGACAGCCCCACGTAGGCCTCGAACCTTTGACCCAGTGGTGGAGGGTAAATGACAGTCAGACCCCTTAGCCACACGGCCAACGTGGTCTTGATTCATAAATTCATAAATTCATAAAAATAGAAATACAAAGGAGCTAAATATTGAATAAATAAAACACTCAGATATTGCTCTCAAAAGCAATCGAATAGCACCATGATGCTTCTATAAATGACGGCATTTGATCAAGACCCCGTTGTGTTATTTACCGTTTGGATTTCCGCAAAGTAATTTGTTAAAATGTCATTCAATTTTGATCAAACGTTGTAAGCATGCGCGCAGCTACAATATAGAAACGAAGACTGAGGCTACTTTCGAAGATAAACATTGTCATACCGTGCTTTGATTGGTCGACGGTTTCAGCACAACGTAGTCAAACATTGATATACTCTGATAAATGTCGGTTAATTGTTAAACTTTATAAAAGCTAGATAATGTTTAAAGTGTGGTTCCCCTGTCACCATAATTAAGAAATGTTCCAAACTTTACTGAATGATATGGTACAGATGTAGTTTCTTTCCTGTAACACATCGGTATTTGCGTATATTTTGTCACCTCGATATAATGCCCCTCGTTTCATTTGCCACTTCGTTTACCGCCAACATATTTCAATTGTCTTTTTTTCTTGTTTCTTCAAACTTCATATCACCAATTCATGGCTGCTGCAAGGACGTTAAAATCCGAACAAACAAATAAAAAAACAAAATCTTATTTTTTTAAAATAATTCCCATATAATTTTCCCAAATTTATCGTCAACCCCTTTATAACGCCAACATTTCTTTTGACTGATGTTGGCATTATAACGAGGTTTTACTGTATCTCCATTAAATGTGACGGACGTATTAAGTTCCGCCCCTTGTTACTTTTTTACTTCGTTAAAGTCATTTGATAGATATGTATAAACTTTATTTATTTTAAAACGATTATGAAACAAGTTCTATCAACTTATATCAATCACTCTTGCTGGCCTGGATGGTAGTGTGAAGGGCGTATTGATGTGGAAGGAAACAGGAGTAACCCCCGGAGAGAAACCCCACGTGGTCCGACAGGCGACCCCATACATTTTCACGTCCGATCGGGGAATCGAACCCTGGCCCTAGGTGAAAAGTGAATGCGCTATCCACTGCGCCACCCGACTACCCTATACGTGTTTATATGGAGACACCGTGAAAAAATCAAGAGTAGAGAAGTGATAGAGATATGTACCAGGAGGTACATGTACTTTTTGTAAATTTTAGCGCAATATCGAACTTAAACAGATAACCGTATTGCTGAATTGACGCATCGTTCAAAATATGCATTAAAAAGCATTACATGTATGTAAAGGAAATTCAAATGGCGCTTCCATAATTTAAAAACGCGAAAAACGCGAAAATAAGACTACCGCAAAGATATGTACTTTAGCAGTATATAACTTTTCTTACGCACTGTGTAAATGCACGTTTGTTTGTATATTTGTGTGAGATTTGTTACCTGAAGCGTTTTATTAAGGATCTACGGTGGTACATTGAGGGCATGCGCAATTTTATTTTCTACATTAATTATCTCGAGCGCTCGACATAGCTTCTCGAGCGCTCGACTTATTATCTCGAGCGCTCAACATATTATCTCGAGCGCTCGACTTACTATTTCGGGCGCTTTACTTAGACATTACGTATGAATCGCTTCATAATAGTATTTGTATTGAAATCGTGATAGTAGATTTTCTCTTAGGTCAAGATTTGTGTGTGGCTTTCAAACGTCCTATTATGACGTCGTTGTACTATGACGTCAACATTTTATGCAAATACCTTATCATGTTTCCTCAAGACGTCAGGCTAAATTGCAATTATTTCATTAAAACACGCATTTGCATTACATATAAAAATGAAATAATCCTCATATGTATTTTTAGAAAATTAATATGTGAAGTTTAAAGTAGTTTCGGAATGTATTATGCACCTGTTTGCAGTGTTCTTATTCGTGCGAACAATTCTAACTGGTAATGTACAATGTAGATAGGTTGGATAGCGAGATAATATGTCGAGCGCTCAAGAAGTTATGTGGAGCGCTCGTGAAGTTATGTGGAGCGCTCGAGAAGTTATGTGGAGCGCTCGAGATAATATGTCGAGCGCTCGAGAAGTTAAGTCGAGCGCTCGAGAGGATATGTGGAGCGCTCGAGATGATATGTGGAGCGCCCGAGAAGTTATGTGGAGCGCTCGAGAAGTTATGTCGAGCGCTCGTGAAGTTATGTGGAGCGCTCGAGATTATATGTGGAGCGCTCGAGAAGTTATGTGGAGCGCTCGAGATAATATATGGAGCGCTCGAGAGGTTATGTGGAGCGCTCGTGAAATTATGTGGAGCGCTCGTGAAGTTATGTGGAGCGCTCGTGAAGTTATGTGGAGCGCTCGAGAAGTTATGTCGAGCGCTCGAGATAATATGTGGAGCGCTCGTGAAGTTATGTGGAGCGCTCGTGAAGTTATGTCGGGCGCTCGAGATAATATGTCGAGCGCTCGTGAAGCTATGTCGAGCGCTCAAGAAGATAATAAATGTAGAAAATAATATTGTGCATGTCCTAAATGTACCACCGTAAGGATCCCCGTACCACTGCCAAAAAGAAAATCTGTACATTTTGTAACTATATGAATTGGAAACTTTTTTTCCTGCATGGCAAAAGTGACAATAATAATTTCTGGAAAAAAACACCTATTGAAACTGTTTTGAAAAAAGTCAATCACAGAAAGACCGATACAGTAATCCGTTATGAAGAGATAGTAATCGTTATAACGAGATATTGAGTCGTTATAGCGATAGACTTATTCGTTATAACGAGATATTGAGTCGTTATAAGGAGATACTACATTTTCGGAGACGTTATAACTCTCTATGCGAGTTCAAAGTTGCATCGTTTGATGATGGACAGAAGGGCAGAATTATATATTCATGAATTAAACTACAATTTGTATTCATTAATTCATTTTCCTAATATTGGACTCCATTTGGTATTCCTAGTACTAAGCTAGAAATGTTGAACCTGTCCTGTTTATGGATCCATCCAGAGTTTAGAGGACCTGCTGTTCCGATAGAACGGTGTAATTCCCCGATGAGTGACAAATTTATCGCGGAGCCACTTCAGTACACCAAACCATCAAGAAACTGCAGGAAATTCAACGAAAGTACTACGTTCCTAGAAAATCATTCTTCATAAACTCGATTTAACGATACGCTACCACATAAAATCAATTGGTGTCATTATCGGTGCAGCATAACGTCCCGGTCTGAAAACTGTTACAGAACCATTCACACCTAAGCGCGTGCTGCTGACTTAATTCCGGTGCTTATATAAACTGGGGTATTGAATTACGTGAAGTGGGGATATTGGATGAAGAAACAGCGGATGGAGTTAACAGGGAATGGTGCCAGATTGAGTGAGAGAGAGAAACGCCAGTAAATGTTGAGCAAGGAGTTAATGGGATTGATAAGATGCAGTGTACGCATCTAACGCTATTGAACGAGATGCAATTATGATGCAAGACTTACATGGATACCAAGAGGTTCTGGTTTGAGCCTCGTTGTTGTGGATATTTGGGGCATCGGAGATGCTTTTAGTGTGTGAGGGACGTTTTCGTAAAAGTGTATTCGGTTCGAACCCTGTCGAACATCGCGGGCTATTGGAGACTGTGGTAATAGTTCGCAAGTAATTGGTCTTTGGTTTGAACTCTTCTTCCAAATCCAAAGGTTACGTCCTCTACGTATCTTCTTTGTGGAAAATTTCATGACAAAATCGAAGGCTCACGTAGTAAGCAATCTGATTGGTTGGAGGTTCACAAATCTGACCAATTGTTAGGCTGATACCTTTCCTCAAAGGAGCTACAGCCCACTTCAAAGCCTCTTGATGTTACGTTTGCGCTGCCACGCAATTTCTTTGAGCATCATCAACGACATCAGAATATAGTTATTGGGTGTCATCCGCAAGAGAAATATATGAGAAATATATAAGAAATAAATCTTCCCCTAGCTTAAGGGTGTGGCAAAATCAATCTCTACCTCGAGGGGAGATATGTAAAATGTTTAACCCGAGGCTCTGCCGGGGGTAACACAACCAAAACAACACCCGAGGGTTGATG